AATAGATTTGCTCACCAGCAAGAAGAGCACCTAAACAATGACACCAGAAATAAAAAATATAAGATACAGTGATGTTAATCCTGAGGAAATTTTAGTTCTCCCTGATGTTACTATTGATATGGGCTTCTCATCTCTTAGGGATTACTGGTATACCATTTCTTCACTTCATCTACCCTGGTTTTCTTTGATATTTTCCAGAGAAAAATTCCTAACTATCATTCACTTTAACTTTTCTAGAGAGTTACATGTTGATAAACAAATGCTGGAAACAAAGGGTATAATTTCACTTAAACATTATTAACCATACAAGCCTACCAAGTGGGGGATTAAACTGTAGGTTCTGGCAGAAGCCATGACTGGATGCTGTCTAAATTTTAAGAGTATACTCTGGTAAAGAGGGATCTGTATCCTCCAATAGTTTAGCTAACAGTTCTAATCACTCTGATGGAAAAGTATCTTAGAAGGGAACATTCTGTCTTTACTGATAACTTTTATACTTCTCCAACTCTGTTTGATAAGTTGCTTCCACTTGGCACTGTAGGAATGACAGGGTCCACTTCCCAGACATGGTCTCAGGTAAATTAAAAATAGGAGAGTGACAGTTTTTCAGCAGTGGCTTATTGACTGCTGTGAACTGATAAAAGGAGATTTTCATTACACAGTACCACAACAATAGAAGTGACAAGAAGACAGGGTGACAGGATTAGCATGCCACAGCTAGTCATTGGTTACAAAAAGTATATGGAATAGGTTAATCTTAATGATCAATTTCTCAGCTATTATGCCATTCCACATAAAACTGTGAAAGAGCGTAAGAAGCTTTTCTTTAGACTTGTTGACTTGCCTGTTGTTAATTCTTATATTATTTTTAAACAGATAAGTAAAAAGGACAAGTACAATAGGACTTCCACTTAGTATTGTGGGAATCCCTTGTGAAACCACTAACTTCATGTAGAGGAGGGCCTTCTCATCTGTCAAGTATTCCATCATCAACAATGTTGGATGTACACGAACGGCTTTCTAGCATTTATTGAAAAAAAAAGGAAAAAGTGCAGATTGTCCACACAAGTTCAATTAAGATGATTTGAAGGCAATGCAAAGTTCATCTGTACGTAATGCACTCTGTAGAGTATCATACTTCTAAGATTCTTCAAAAAAGTTCAATTTTTTTCTACTAAAGCCAGTTAGTTTGTGATGGCTAATTAGGTTTTTACACTTGTTACTTCTACACTTGTTAGAAATGTTCTGAAAATAAATTCAAGCACACACATTTCTAGTACTTGTATTAGAAAACAAAAGCAAAACTCTGGCTAACCCCTTTTTCTTCCTTCTCATCATTTTCTTTTCTTAACAACTAAAGTTTCTTCAGTAGAGGTTTGGTGTTTATAACACCCTTGTTTTTTATATTTGTTTTTTAAACAATCACTGAGCACTTATATTTAGGTCTTTGTTTCCAATGAAATTATATTTTTCAATGTTTCAGAACTTACACATTGCAATGATTTCCTAAACGTTTATTTCACTTTTATGTTTAGCTAATTTTTGACAAAAGACATATTTGACTAGTACCAGATAGCTGATAGATTTTTAATTTGATAACAATGTTGAACTGGAGTGTTAATTTCTTTTGCATTTTACTCATGACTTGTACTAAATTGTATAAAGTATATTTATTTATTTTAAAAGCTGGTTTATTCATTTATCTTACTTACAATACCTAGTATTTGCAGTCATCATTGATGCTCTTGTGCTTATGTAACTTTTGTATATAATTTTTATGTAGTTTCATTTTCTAATTTAATAACTTTTTTTCAGAATATCAAAATAAATTATCATATATTAGTCTTATTTTAATATATATAGAAAAAAAAAGAATTTAGGGTTTTAGACTACAGAGTAAAGACAGTAAGGAGAAAGAAAAAATTACAAGTAGCTTAACTATCATAGTACTAGTAATGCATACAATTGTTACAAACTCATCTTCCTGAATAGTGAATAATATTTTGATTATGATCTAAATATAAAAGATTAACTAAAATATTTTATTTAGTTCTCCTGATTAAACACAAAAGAATATAAAAATTACAATGCCTTTCAATTCAAAGTGCTAAGCCTAATTCACTTCTAAGATTATATATTCAGCCATCAATGAATCTAAATTTTTCTAAGCCTAACATTTGTAAATCATCTTTTTATTTTGAGTTAATACTACAATATAATTAAAACAAATATTTAAATTATATAGCATATTTTTAGCTAATATAATTAAATAAAGGCATGTAACTGCTGTGAAGTTCTTCTCACAAACAGTTGTTTGAAACATTGTTACAAACCAACAGCTTTTGCCAAAATTCCTCACAACTGCTTCATGACAAGTACTAAACTAAATCACACTCGCTATATACTATTTTAAACACATAAAAAGAGCTCTTGTCATGTTTTTAATTCATCATCCTATGATTTGTCAAATGTGAGATAGAGATTGTCATGTAGGATCATGACGAATGAGGCATATCAGACAAGGATTAGTTAAAATTCCAAAGACTATTGCTTATCTTTAGAGTGCTTATTTACAGCCTAAAACATATTTTGGATTTTTTTGTTAAATTTCTCTTTAAATTTAATTAAACAAAACAATTTGATAGAAACAATTACATATTATAGTATTTAGTAAAAAACTAAAATGTGGAAATGAATTTAAATAACTTCTCTATAATTTTATTAATTCAGTGATGCAATTTATCTCTTGAGTAGTGGAAAAAGTCCACTGAGAGTTATAGGGTTAAGATGTTGATTCTTGACAAAAAATAGTTTTAACCACAAGACTGATTCCTGAAGGACAAATACAGATAAACCGAACAAAAAGCATGAACCAAAAAGAAAAAGACAAGCTAATAACTTTATGGTCATAATGAGCTGAAAGTGTGAAGAATATTAAATTAGAGAGACTGGATAGATAAAAAAACTCAAATACACAGTAGAATGAAGATCCCCACAATATAATAAAAAAGGTAAGTTCAAAACACTTCCACTACAAAAACGTGTTCCTAATTAACAAGAAAAATGTGTAATAACACCTACATAAAAAATTATATCCTAGAACTGTAAAAATATGACAATTTTGAAAACATATAACAGCTAAAATAAAACTACAATGAAAAATATACTTTCACAGGATATCAAAAATTTTGGTAACAGGAGGATCTGATACATTTCTTAGAAACCTAGGCCAAACACTTTGATTCAATCTGAGAGTGGTAGTTGAAGTGTTTCCATTTGTCTATATCTAGAGTTATTCACTGACATTGCCATTTTTGTTTATCTAAGATATACTTATTCCTACCACCAGTAAGATACTGATGTGCAGGGAGGTGTAAACGGCTAAACTATAAATGATACACTGGAGTTCATTATACAGCATATGCAGTCATATACATTTATTTTATGAGTCATCCATGTTATGCCACAGCAGTACAGCCTGATATACAGATCACAATTTTAACCTGCAGTAATTTTGGCGTGTTACATACATATGATCATAATTTGATAGGTTGTGATTTTGGTGTCAGCAGACAGTGACACCTGCCATCTTCTGTCGATAATCCTCATGTACTGAGCACACTTTATCAAAATAAGTACCAATTTGAAAGTTTGTTGATGACGTTAAGCATGCATCACATACACAAAAATATGATAAGTAAAAGATAAAAAACAACAACAACAAGGTCCAACAACTAGGTACCAAGACATCAAAAACCACAAGGTCCTGAAATGTAGATATATGAAAAACAATAAGATCCCAAGTTGTAAAAAAAGATGTAACAAAAAAACACAAGGCATATTGAAATACCCAGAGATTACGTGGGTATGTTTCTATTATAATTGACCCACAGCAAAATGGCAAGTGGATATTGTTGTCTTTTCTCATTCCCACAGTTGAAATATATATCAAATTGCATGCAACTTAGTACAATCTTTACAGGTAGCAACTATATCTATAAACCATAAATTACTGCTAAAATCTCTTAATTTACCCTGTATTGGTGAAGATAGATATCTCTTCAAACCATATTCTGTGACATACTGTAGCAAGAAAAGGCTGTAGCAATAAAATCAACAGAGAAGGAAAATCACATAAAAAGCAGAACATGAATTATTATATTTTCAAGGGATGAGAGTTTCATAGTAAATGTAAGCCTATACATTGGGATAAGCATAAAACGTATTTTAAAAAATGAATGAATGTGTTATTTTACAGGCAAGACTCCTTGGAGTTGTGAAGAAATGATAGTTGGAACATTTTTTTCATCTGTCTTTGCAAATTACACTAAATAAATGATATACAATTATATAATAATAAATCTAAAATATGTTTGGGTAAAAATATCACTGAAATAGAGTTAGAATTATATTTGTTACTTAAATTTTGTAATCAAAACATGAAAGGTCTACATTAATTGTGATAAGGTTAATAACTGTGAAAAACCAGCAGAAATAACTAACATATGTCATGAATAAACCCTACTAAATGTAGCTCTAGTTTCAGTGGTAACTTTAAAAACAGGTCGGATATTAGAAGATGTTTCAGCAAGTACCTTTGGCAAAAGTATAGTTACAAGAACTTGGCTAATGGAGGTAAGTTGTTATTACACTGTTAATGGATACAGTCCTTGATGACTTTGTTTTGAGACATGCAGTTTGGAAGAGATAATTTGCTATGAAATAAACGAAGATTTGTGCAGCTACCTAGCATATAGTAACAAGTTTCTTTTTTTTGGTACAAGTGAGTTATAAAATATAAATCCCATCTAAAATGGAGAATACAATAAACAAAAGAAGCAATATCTTCATGTTTTAATATGAACTCCAATACCACATCAACACCTCAAATCATTGAAACAAATATTACTTTAAAAAATGGCACGTTTTTAGTTACCAATAATTACTGGTAAATAATTACTTGTGTCATTTATAATTCTAATTTTCACCACAAAGTCTACCTCTTTTTTAAAAATCCAAAGTGTTCCTGAGATGATGATAAGTGCTGACATGATGACATTAAAGATGAGATCCCGAGTAATCATGGGTTGTTTAACATTACGTGGAGGCTGCTTGAGAACATCATGATCCACTGGTTCAACACCAAGACTGAAACATCAACATATAATCAAAATCAATTAATGTTAAACATGGAAGAAATATAATAGAAAAGAAAATACTTAAAAACTCAGAACACAATGAATCATGTTTTAAATATAAACATCCTATACAACTGCGAAGAGACGACACAAGTATATGTTTGTGAATGACACCACAGCCACTAAGAAAATGATAATGATACCATCTAGTTGAAACCAATGTTTTGCATACATATTCTTATAAATTTTATGTTATTTTTGACAATCACTATAGTATATTCATGTTATTATATGAAGAGAAAAGTACAATAGAACTATTGCTTTTAATTTTAAATCATATATCTTGAACATTTTATGCAATTTAAGCTCAAAACTTGCCTGTGTTTTGATTTAAAAAATTTTGAAATAGATCTTTTTGTATTCATAATACAATTTCTAGACAAGAATTTGGAACTCAAGTAAAATCTAACATCTCACTTGTAGTTAGGTTTCCCACAATCACTCTGAAAACAGGAAATATTTCATTATCGATTTTTAACTTTCTGTATGCTATTTCACAAAGTAAATGAAGCACTGTATTCAGTGGTATAGACTAAGAGCTGGAAAGACAGCTAATTACTTTGAAAAGCTGTGAGAATTAGGCTAAACAACAAAACTAATAAATGCAAGTGAATGATTTAAGATATACACAATTTTGAAAATAGATAATACAAGTAGTGAGTTGGTTACAAATGTATTTTAATTTATTAATAAAACAAAAAACAGACTTCAGAAATTACACCCAAGTGAAGTCACACAATGTGATATAAGACATAGCATTATATGTTACTACCTCTGAGCCGGAGGTCCATCCATAATGATATTAATCCATAGGATCTGCATGGCATTTAGAGGATTGGGAATGTGCATTAGAGTTGAGACAGCAATCAAGGAGAGGGCGGCAATACTCCTGCAAAATTACATTATTGAAGAATTCACTTGTAATGAAAATGTTAATATAAACATATTTAGTTCCTACATACACACACATTAAAAATGTCCTTAGTACTCTTGTTTACAATCTTATATATTATGTCTATGGTAAATCACAAAAGCAAACTTAACATTTTTTTCTTACTATCTTTGTGCACAAGATATAAGATAATCATTTTAATATTTCATCTGATCCACTAGATCATTGGACATGTGACCCTATGTTTTGCGAAACAAAATCAGAACTTTTTTACTTAAGCCTGCAATCACCATAAAACACAGAAGTATCTGATTCCCTAATCAGTGATTTTTATGTTTGTAATTCTAATACTTCTTTCATTTTCACAAATTAAATGCTTATAAAAATAGCAAACATAACATACACTAGAATAAAAAAAAATTATAAAGACTTCTGAAAAAAATGATGTTTTATGTACAGATGTTGAATATGTTATAACAAAAATGACTTTGAATACACAAATGAGCAAGTAATGTGACAATCACAAATTCTTTAAAATTGTGGTGGAACAGCATGTATTAGAATTATATTTTAACACTATTGTGTTTCACAGGTATTGTGATGCCAGAACAAACTGATTGTTTTTGGGAAGGTATTTAATAACCAATTCTGAAACAAAATATTTACAAATTCATATCATAAAGATGTTTTCAAACCAGGCATTTAAAATTTCCAAAACAGGGATATCTTTATTCTTAATGGCATAGGCAAACAAAGGAGAATAAATCAACTTGAGACTCCAGGGCCATCCATATAGAAACATGCAATAAGTCATACCCTAGCAGTGGCAAACAAAGTGGAGCATATTATAACATCAAGTTCAGTAGCAAAAGCTACCCACATGCTCCAGTTAAGTGTATGCAACATAATTCAGGATATTTATCTGGAAATATAAGGCCAATAGGGTATGTGTTCCCCAAGATAAAGCTTCCAGTCATACCACCCATTCAATCATCATATATCTCAAGTGGCTGAAGAAAAAAACAGGTATTCATGCTATTCTATACAAAGACATACTGGTCAAGATCCCGGATGGACTTATATGCAATCAAAATCTTTAAACAGGCACTGATAAACCATCATCTTAATACAATGAATTATGGAAATCCTTCAGAAAGAAGTGGTGTGCTTGGTACATGGCAACCTTACAAAGGAGTCTTTTGCAATGAAAACTACACTGTAGGGCAATTGTCAAGATGCACAATTGTCACACAGAACATGACCAGATGCAGTGATATGGACTGTAACAACACGGTGAGGTTCCAAATCAGTATCATGTCATTTGTGTATGCTAACCAAAACAATGCTAATAACTCATTTTCTTTCAATATACTTAATTTTTATCATTGTTATATAAACAAGAGGGAACCCTCAATAGCCACAAAACTTGAAATTCTTTTAGGCAGGATTACAGTTAATTAATCTATGAGACATTTATTTTCCTCTTTTTTTTTTTTCTTGCTATAAATTTGTGGGGATCACGTATACCCAATTTGATTTTATTACTCATTAGGATCTCTACCACCCTACTCTCAAATTTAAATTATTTTAGGCACAATTAAATTAATTTATGAGACCTTAGGCATGGTCAAATATATCAAAAGGGTTTGACCTTGTGAGCCCAAAACTGTAATTAGATCTCAAATCGGTCAATAGATGATGGAGCTATGAGCTAAAAGTTTGTACTTTGGAAAAAAAAAAAGAGAGAGAAAAAAAACTCTGAGCCATTCTATGCGCCACTTGTACCTTTTTCTTGTATTTTAAAATAGTTCAAATTCAGTTCATTCATTAGGTTTTATTGTTGAAAGAGTATTCCAATAATTTTACTTCAGTACAAGTTTTAGAACAAACTACAAGTTATAACTTCATGGAAATCACAAAATATTGACAGTAATTTGTTCACTATAAATATATTCTGGTACTATTAACGACAAAAAAAAATTTTAATTATAAAAATAATCAAAACTCAACCTCCATACTTGGTACTGTAGAGACATGAAGACAAACAAGCTAAATATGTAACCTGTATGTATCTAAAACAATGCAACTCACTAATATCAGTGTACCCAAGTATTACATATACACAGTAACATACTAAGTTTAACTAAGCCTAAAATATAGCAACATACTAAATCCTAAAATGGGTCAATCTTTGTTTTAGAAAAAAAAAAATAATAATAATAATAATATATTATCTACCCTAATAACAAAAAAAACAACAAAAATATGGCACTCACGTGCTAAGTTGAAAGCGAACAAAATTACGAATGTTGTAAAATATGCCTTTGCCTTCTTCTATAGCTGCCCTGCAAATATAAAAGGAAAAATCTTTTAGTAAATATTGAGTCTACACCTGTAATCAGACACCTTTCAACAATATTAGATAAACTAGTTAAGTGTTATATAAAGTTGGAAAGGTTACATTCAATTTCCAAAATGAGAAATAATCATAAACATTGATTAATAATTTCTGTTCATTTTCGCTAATTCAAATTATTTACTACAGTATTTTTTAAATGTAACTTAAAAATGTGGCATATTAGTTTCCTGATAATTCAAAAGACTTGCTGGAATTTAACAAATTTACCACATAGATACAAATTCTATGTTTATGAAGGAGAAGTTTTAAAACTAACCACTTATAGAATAGATTAAATAAAACTATTGGTGTAAATAGCCACATGAAAAACACCTTACATAAAATAACTGCTAAAAATAAGCCACTTATATAATACCTTATATAACTGGTGAAAAAGAATACCTTATACAAGTCAACTGGCTAAAATAGCCACTTAGAGAATACCTAATATAAGATGATATGTCTGTGAATTTACAAAGCCTCTGCTAAGTCAGTCTGAGTGAAAGGTGATTTTTCATGATAAGAAAATATACTTCTTTTATTTATTTCATATTTAATTTTCCTAACATCTACAACATCCTAAATGAATATCAAAATTTTTTTTGCAAAACTTTATACTTTAACTCTTATTTTTTCTATCCTAATGTGTCTAAGATATACAATTGAGAAAAAAAAATTAAAATATGAAATAAAATCAATAATGTTGTTGTAAAATGCTCTATTACTATTGTTTGGTATGTGTTTTAAGATTACATGGTCAAAATATTGCATAACAACAACAAAACTCAATGTTCATTTCAAGAAGATTATGGAATTATTATAAGTATCTTATGAACAGTTAGAAAGGCAGTTAAATTATGAGTTATAGGACATTATTTTCTTTGGGTATGATATTATTCTGAGTTCTTAGGTGAATTATTTAAATAAAAATTATTTAGTGGACAAGCACCTTCAGGACAAAAAAAGTAGGTTTAAATTTCAGTGAGAACCAAGAGCAAAACTAAAAAAGAGATCAAAGCTAAGTGCTATATTTCATGTTTTTCAGTTATATTTTTTATTTATTGTTATAAAAGTAACTAAAATGTAAAAATTAGAAATGCATTATGCTAAACTAGGTGAGATAATGAAAAATAGTAACCATCTACAATGTATTCTATGACGAGGAACGCACTTTGAGACTAATAAT